AACAGCAACAACAACAACAGCAGCAACAACAACAAAGCAACGACAACCACAACAACAACAACGACAACAAGAACGGCATTGATTTAAGACCAAGAGAGGCCACATCAGCTTCTCGTGGATTTGTCAGTTTAAGGAATGTCCTTAGTCCCTAGCTCTCTGCCACGATGTAGCACCCTATACAGTCCTGGCTGGCCTTACCTGCAAAGTCGAAGCAGCCCGCCTCCAAAAAGGGAGCACACCGTTTATAATGATTTTTACAATCGAGGGAAAGTAGGCCCACACACAATTAATTTGATTCAAAAGGTACAGAGCGCCAAACACTGATCAATATTTCGATGCATAATTCGAGATCAAATAGACCAGTTGTGATATAAGTGGAAAGGGCTAGGTTGTGTAGGGTAAAGATATAATACGGTTGAATGTCGTGATAAAGTACTCTGGGTTTACCGCAAAGACTTAATGTGCATGTAAGAAAACTGCTCCAAGGAAAACGTATTCGTCCAGTTTACAGATGCAAACTCTTTGTCTAATAAGCTTTTGATATACAAACACTTTTCTGGAAAAAAAATCTCCTTCAACCATAAAAAGTATAATCACCCCAACCCTCCCCCCTCCTCCATGACTCACATTTATAATATTATATAGGTAAATACAAAACAAGAGAAAGACGCATAACTTGTTTTCTGTGTTATCTTTCAAAAGCCTTCCTTTTGCGATCTTCCTCAAATCGCACACGTACATACGGTTTATCTCCAGCTTATTTATTCTTATCGTAATCTCTTTGGCGTTTCACTGTTAAATTACCTTAATAACGCTTTTTCTCCAAAGTAATCACCCCTCTTTAGTCGGCGCACTTCTTTAGGCTCTGCATGACCTGCAATTTTCTGGGTGACCTTGACCTGAAAAAGAAAGACGAGAATGTATTTTGGGGGTGCTCCGTCTTCTCGAACATTCTGGACATTATTATGGCAAGCAGGAAAGCCGATAGCAGCGTACATGGGGCAGTGATGGGCGTCCAATGAAGATTTTTGTGAAAACAATAAATATAAATAGCATCAGGGAAAATCCGATGGATGAATACATCGATTTCTCGTGGGAACAAGGTATGTCTATGTTCGCCATATTGCTGTCTGCACACGTTCTCTGTTTTCACAGCAAAGACAATGTTAGTCTGGGTGAGGAAACTCAATGCTTAAAGGGCTCAGATCTATTTCTGTTCACCCCCCCCCCCCCTGCCTCAATAAGTACAGTCATAGTTCCATTTGTAGGCCTGTCTCAAATGATTATATTTTATATGGACAGAGCGGTTTTGAGTTCAGATACATAGCTACGGGGCTTTTCAATAATATGTTCATGTACAATGTTCATTTTTACAAGGTTCTGTCTGCTGCTAACAGCTACAAATTAGCACAATAACAAACAAAAGACTGCGCTAGAAGGAAATAGTCAATACAAAGTGGCAATTCTGGCCCAGGAGTCACTGAAGCCCGCTAGCCAGATCCGGCCCGCAAGGTCAGTTCGTCTGGCCAAGGTCTGGCCCACCACTATGTCACCGAGCGGAAAAAGCTTGAAAAATGTGTTTGAATCGTTCTGAGGACTTGGGTCACCAAAATTATTCATCTATTTCATTGAACTCTACACGAGTAGAAATTACATTTTTATAGAATTTACAGCTTCTAGCAAATGTATTACACCCTTGCTCAACTTTAATGTGACAAATCTTTCATAAAACGCACCAGAGTACTGTACTGAACAAACCAGTCATCTGGCTAGAGCTCAGCATTCTCTCGGTTACCAGGCTCACTTTAAGAAACGTTTGGTGACCCCTGAACAAGCCAGTTTACCCCAAAGCTGTTACTCTCAAATGTTGGAACGGGAGGTTTGGGGTTTGGGTGGGGTTGGGGGTGCGGGTGGGGG